AAAAATTACCCTTAATAAGAAATTATTACACTATCATTAGACTTGTCAAAATACAGGGTTTCCACCAGCTCAGGATAACACTTAATTGTTTAATCCTTTTTCAGATAAGCAATAGTGAGAATGGGGCAAAGGCAGAAAGCCCCTTTTTTAAAATTTTCCTTTAAAGTTAACAGTCATATAAAATTACTTCTCTGACTCCCATATTTCCACTTGAAAGTAAGAAAGTTCCATTGCTTTGCAAATGAATCAGGAAAAAAACACATTTGTTACTTCAGGATGCTGAAAATACCTACTTATGAGATATATCAATGGGAAGAAGAAGTTAAAAATAATCAAAGAAAGCTTAGAAAGTTTTTCTGCAGGAAAGGTTAGCATTTATAAACTTCAAAATTCAAACTCTCTACAGAATTTCATTTCCATATAACATCAGTACTTTAAGGAGAGAGAAGAGGGGAAGGAGAAGAGATGGATGGCTAAACCACTGAATATTTCCTTGCCAAAAATAAATAAATAAAAATGTATCTATTTATTTTAATATTTTTTCCTAGGCACTGAAGAGGACTTAAGATACAAACCCCTGATTTGCTGGGGTGTGCAACCCAACTTACTTTGGCTATTTCTTACTTAACTCCTTTTTTGTATAGAGCTTAAACTCTCCACACTAGGTCATTCAAGTCTTGAGTCACTGGGAAAAAGAAGTCGCTGTTTAAAGTATGGCAGACGACCAAAAGTTCAGACAGCTGCAATGAAGGATTAGTTGTGGGTTTTTCTCACTGCCTTGCTACAAACTGCATCACAGCTCTATGTTCAAACATTATTAAATGGGAATGTTTTCTCTGGCACTGACTACTCCTCCCCACAGTTTAAGTATTGAATTTTTTTAACTGAAGTAGCTTTGGTTTACAGCTCACATTAGAACTTAAAAACATATTTCCATAGAACCTGGCATATGCAGGCAACTGTTTATTCTCAGTACCAGCCATAATAAACACTTGTACTTTTATAATCCAACAAATCTTTGTCTAATCACAATTCTGTTTTCAGAGCTGTAAAATTTGCATGCTATTTAAACTATTTTTCATAAAGACTCTCTTGAAATGGAAAGATTTTCTAAGTGTGCCTCCATTATCAATACAGATCAATAATTCACTGTAAAGGATGTGAAGATAAATGGTGGATATTGATGCTAATGGTTTACTGAGAAAGACCTTTGTAAAGCAGGACATGCTATCAGATTTTCAGGGGGATAGTTTGCCTGGAAAGTATGGAGAAATGACACCTCGTTGGTTGGATGGGCTCTTTGGGTGAATTAAGAACAGCAACTGGCTGACTTTTGGGTTTATATTCTAGCATTCCAAAGCAGTAAAGCTCTGGAAAATGGAGCAATTTGAATTTGCTTTTGGCTCATGCCTTGTCAACAGAAGTAATGAAGGTCTGCTTGCAGGATTGCTACGGTAAATGAAAGGGCCCAGCAGGACATTTGTATTCCCTTTGAATTTGCCAGAACTGATCATTCTAAAAGTATTTGTTTTTCATAGTTGATTTTGTTGGCAATAGGAATTGCCGAGGCACAGAAATATGGAGCCTCAAATGCTCTTTTATTGGAGCAAAATTAAGCTTTGAGGAGAAAAATCACTACCATCCTTCTTCCTTTTTTTAATGGATGTTGCCATTTGTGAGGATGAATTTGCAAGGAGCCAGTAATAAAAAGAATTGCTATCAGCAAGAGTAGGCATTAATTTGACAAGGACTCTTAGCAGAGTCTTTGAAATGCGCTGATTTCCATCCTGTGCATGTCTTCCCTTACCCAAGCTTTAGTGCTTACATAAGAAACACTGTCCTGAAAGCCAGTGTTGTATTTTTCACCTAAACAAATATCCACCTCAGTGTGACATTGTTTCTGACTCAGTTTAATCTTCAGCTTCCAAGCAGTTCCAGATCATGCAGGACCCCATTCAACATGAAAACAAGCTCAGAACTCCCATGCATGCAGACCCCTGTGCTAGGAATCTGCCAGGAATGGACTTCACCCACCATTAACCTCTAAAGGGTGACGGAACAACATGCAGATGGAATTATTGCAGACTTGCTTGTGAGCACTGACAGAGCATCAGAGGCCAACAGCAGCTCCAACCAGGATAGCCAGCTTTGTTATTAGAAATGAGAGTAATTATTAAAAAGTGTTGCTGTACAGCTCTGCAACAGGCAATACTACCGCCAAGGTGGACAGAGACCCAGGACCAATGCTGCATTCAAACCTGTCACATGAACACAGTGTGTTCAGCAGGTGATGGTCCCATGAGCATCAGCATCACACTGTAAACCCTGCCAAAAGTGGAGACAAATCTAAATATCCCATCAGGTTAGGCAGAAGCTGCTAACATCTGAGGCAGACAACTCACAACTGCAGGAATTTGGGGTGGCAGATGGGAGGCAGGAATATTCCCACTGCCTCCCAAGAAGAGTTGGCAGGATCAGAGAAGTGGAAGGAGACACTAAGTTATTACAGTCACATGTAAATGTTGGCATTAACAATAGCAGGAGGAAAAGAAAAATCAGTTAAAAGAACCTGAGAATGCTGAAAAAAGCCACAATAAATACTGAAGAACTGGAAGAGGAGCTATTTCTCATCAGAAAAGAACAAGGGTTTGAGAACTACTTGTACTTATTAAGATGGAACTGGCTTCAGACTATACATAGTGGAAATTAAGAAAGCCAGAAAAAAATCCACAGACACTTGAACAAAATGAAAAAGGGATCACGGTGCCATCTCACAAGGCTTCAAGAGCATCAGTTGCCTCCTCAAGTTAAGTCAAATGTAAAGGACCTCAGACTTACTTTAAGTAGGCTTAAGAAAAATAAATAATTGGTTAATGGACATCTTAGTAAATCATGAAATCCCCACCTGAGAAGACACAATGGGAGGGGAGTTTAGCTGCAAGATCAAGAGCTGAGGAAATGAGTGAACGTGAGAAAGGATTAGCTAAGGAGGCCTTGAAGACCAAATGACAAGCTTGCGAGAAAACTGATAATACTTGAGACTTGCAATAACCATTGAACACTGTTCAGTGAAGAGGAAAAATCAGGGTTCATAGGCACCAAATGTATTCCCACTGTAATCAGTTGAAGTCAAATGAATCACAAAGCAGGTAACTCTGGTGCTTAGTTTTTACTGGTGGAGTGAAAAAATGGCAGTATTTTACCATGTCCTTTGCTCTTTAAAAAACATAATAGGAATCTCAGATAATTAGTGCTAGAAAGGGGAATGGAGTTCTTTAACAAGAGAGAAATAATAACCAGCTCCACACCTTTTAATGGTGACATTTCTGAATTTGAATGCTAGAGTATCGAAGACTAAGCTATTGGCTGTCACAGAATGACAGGATCACACAATATTATGAGGTGAAAGGGACCACAAGGACCATGGAGTTCAACTCCATGTCCCTGCACAGGACACCAAGAGGGTCAGAGGCCCATGTGACAAGAGTCACACCATGTGCCTGAGAGCATTGTCCAAACACCTCTTGGGCTCTGTCAGGCTTGGTGCTGTGACCACTTCCCTGGGGAGCCTGTTCCAGTACCCAACCACCCTCTGGGTGAAGAATCTTTTTTCTAATATCCAACCTTAATCTTCCCTGACACATCTTCAGGCTGTTCCCTCGGGTCCTGTCACTGGTCACCACAGAGATCAGCGCCTGTCCCTCCTGTTCCCCTCACAAGGAAGTTGTAGACTGCAATGAGGTCTCCCCTCACCACTGGCTGAGCTTCTGAGGACAAAATCTGGAGTTGTCCAAGCAGGCTGGAAGGCAGAAGGACAAAAGAGGACTCCAGAGCAGTAACCTCTCCTTTGAGCATACACATATCTCCAACAAGAGAAAACTAAAGATAAATTGGAGAAGCTACCCCAGTAGGATATTACATGTCTTTCATGGCATGAAGTGATGGTTTACAATCAACTGCTTGTAAAGAACTTTTAAAAGCAAATTTCAATTCTTAGATAAAATTACAATGAGCGGAGTGCTAATATTGTGTAGAACAAAACCGTGAGGAAATGTGATACATACAACCCTCTGTCAGTTCAAGGCACACAGCAAGCCAGATTCTGGTCTCCTTACCACAAGCCAAGCTGGGCAAATCTCCTAAAGTTAAAAGGCTCTGGATGGATTTTTATTTTGAGATTAAAACAGTCTGCCCATCAACTTTGGTGGATTAGTTGTGATTTATACTAAAGCAGTTAAAAAAGCAATCTGATCTTCCAAACCTCTTTCACACTCAAATTCAAATGTTTCATTGCTGCCATATGCTGAAGGACACTGAAACCTCATCCTATGGATTCTCCTTCTTATTCCTTATAGACACTCAATAGTGTAGACTACTACAGCTTGTATAAAGTATAGGAGCAACTACTTGGCAAGTTAATGTAGATCATGCTTTGCCTTTTCAAAAACTCAGAGTAGATTCAGCTGAATTTCTTTTAGCTGAATTACAGTTCCATCATAGGAGGTGAATGCTCAATGGATGCTCATATGCACCGACTGCTCATCTCCCCTTGATGCAAGCAGGAGGAAACCACTTGCAGGGCTTGATCCTTGAAAGCAAAAGAGGAAAGCACAGGATGAAATCCTGTATCCTTCTCTGAGTTCAAGGGGATTTTTGTTCTTCAGTAGACTTAGGCACCAATTCATTACTCTTCTCTATCATACCACATTTTGGTCTGTACCAATATTTCTGTATTGAACTCTGCTGTACAGTTAACAAAAAGGACAGGAATTCACATGTAAATATTTTTCATTATTCTACTGAAAATCACTTCAGTTTCCACCTGTATTTACCTTTGGATGAAAACTATGCACATAGCCCCACCAGGCTGAAAAAAAACACACAAACTATTTTTTTTACAGAAAAGAATACTAAATTCATCAACCATCAGTATTTCATACAAGAGTGGCCCCACCTCAACAGGGACCACAGGCTGTTTTTACAGAAAGAGTAAGAACAGATAGAAGAAAAAAATATTTTTATTCTCAGTTTCACATTGTGGAATTTAATTTAGCTTTCAAGAAAGATCAACACTGATTTCAGAATTCTTTGAGCAATGTTTACAAGATCATTAGTTGTACTTTGTTAAACACCTTATTTCAGGTATTTAAATGTACCTTAATATCTTTCAGGTGCACTGGGATTCATTATCACTTTATTCACCATCACATAAAAAGACATATATAAATAATACAATTCATAGCTCAGAAAGAGGAACTGTTATGTCTTCCACAGTTCATAATCTGATGAAAGTTCTTGAGAATTTAGCCATATACTGCTACAACTTAGCAGAACAGCACTGAAATGAGGAACCTTAGTGTCATCCCAGAAAACAGAAATACTCTGTTCTGTTGTGTTTGTGTAAGGGAGAGAAAGCTCAAGGGGGAAACTCATGTGCACCATTTCTGCACAGTGAAAAGCCATGCTCACAGAAGAGTCAGTGCAGCACGGAAGTGACCTTTCAGGAGTGGATCTTGGGACAAAAGGTGCAGCTTAAAGAAGCACCTCTGAGGTATATCTAACTGGAACTACAGGTGGTCAAAAATAATAGTAAGGAGCAATGGTGAGTCTTCACTTCTGTAAAATACTTCGTGTTGGTTTCATGCATCAGGATTCTTTCTTTTCCTCCACTTCTAACAGGTCATCAAGGAATTCCACAACTTCACCCTAGAAATGATTAAATTTAACAGAAAGAAATTAATCCCCAAAATTGGTGGGAAATTTCTGCTATTTTAATTTAAAAAATAAACTGTAATAATAGGTATGCAAATATTTTTATCACCCTCCATGCAGACACTAATACAACAAACCTATAAAATGCAGGTAAATGGCCCATACCAGTGTAGCACAAGACTTGCAGTGACACAGACCTTAAAAGGAGAAAATGTTAAATACTTCACAGTAAATCCTCTCATACTTTTACAGGTACTTAAATAGACAATGAAATCCTCAAACTTAGAGACGCATAAATGTTTAAACCACCTGTTAAATTAGGAAGTTGTTAGAATACCATAAAACATTAAAAATATATAGAAAGCTTCAAAACTCGAAGCCAAAGAGTTGTGTAGAACCATAACTTTGACTTTGTACATCTGCTCTAATAGTTTATGTCCCTTGTCACACCCTTCAACACACACCTTCTCCATTTTCAACCACGGATCTTCACAAGCCATGCTTCAATGCAGCAAAAATGTGAAGAACCAGAGATACTAGAATGTTTTGCAGGGCCTGCTACAGTTTTCCACACTGGAAACAAATACACTGGATTTAGATTGAGACCAGAAAATTTACAAGCTCCACTCTGCTAACAGAGGGCACCAACACAATGCAGCAATCCAACTTTATTTAAACCAGTCCTAACGTAGTTCTATATCCTATACCTTAGTAAAATGTCTTCCTGCAGTCCAGCCCGAGTACCCAGAGATGATACAGCTCCACTGGCTGGAACTCACTGTCTTGTCAACTAAACTGCAGCAAATGAGCTAAAACCTTCTGTGATCACTTCCAGCCCAAGGTAACACCTTCAGTGGTGGAAAGCAGGTGGTCAACAGCAACTGTGCAGCAGCATCCCAAACTACTCAAAACTGCCTGTAGCAGCCCATCTGCTGGCACCCTCGAAACACAAATATTTTCTGATTTGCCTTCCATGCACAGTTCAGAAGCACTGCCTGAGAGGGGAGACCCTGTGGGAATACCTGTGCCCATCTCACTTTTTGATACAACTTAAAGCAGAGGGATGCAGATGCTCAATGCTACATTTCCAACCTTTTACTCTAGTAACTACAATGTTCTGATAAACTCTGTTTTCTTTAAGCCTTTCTGTCCTTTCTTTCTTGGCAGGCACCTGTGATCTAAAAAAGTCTTAAGATATCATTTAGTTTTTTTTCCAAAATAAATTGTCATTTTCTGCTGGAAAACCTGAACAGCTTGTACTCATTCTCATATTTAAATTAATGAGAACTTCTACCAATTCTGTTAAAAGCAAGTCATCCTTGTTTGGATGCTCATTTCCCCTTTGCTTTACTATCCATTCCCAGAACTGTACTGGGCTTCTGAGTCTGCTCAATTGATGTCTACAATCCAAATGACATTTTTAGCACTTTTTTGTCTAAATAGGCATTCCTTCAAAAGACAGCATCTTCTAGACACATTCTGAGACTCAAACTTTTACTGTTTTCTATTCTGGTGAGAAAGGGCATTAAAACTTTGTCAATGAAAACAATAAGAGGAAATAGAGAAATTTTTTCTATTTTTAATACAATAATGGTATTATGGATATTGTGATTAAAAAGTATCAACATCACACTTTTAGGAACTATGACTAGTCAGGAGAGAAATAATGAAACTAAGCAAACAAAAATAAAAGCAGGAGAAAAGCTGGCTGAAATTACTGCTGTTCTTGCTCCCTGCTTCACAGTCCCATCTCAAAGATCACTGAGACTTTGAAACTAAGAAGTGATTTTAGCAAGTCTTGCAAGATGGCAATTTGTTGTGCTTTGAATTTGTTCAAAAGATTTAAGTATCCAACATATTATTGCCATACTCATCAAAAAGATTTTTTTTTCAGAAGACACACAACATACAGACATAATTCAAGTTTTTGATTTCTGGTATGTTTTCAAATCCAGAAACATGTAAGAAATGAAAAAGGATATTTAAATGCAACAATATTAGGGAAAAAAATCCCCACACAAACCTGAAATCTGAAATCTCTGGTGTCTGAAACTGAGCTCTAAAGGAAAACATTGCAGAAGCTATTGTGGTCTAATTAGATGTACTGAGGAATAAGAGAGGTTGAAATATGGCAAAAATATAAAAACTGTTGCTGAAACAATATACATAAAATATGCTGCAATACAACTGACTAATTGCCTGGGTGTTGGTTATTTTTGAAAAGGCAAAACCTCCAGATTAAAGAGAAACAAAACTCCAGTTAAAACATTTTTGCTTGTGCCTTCACAATCAAAATGTAAAACATCTGCAAGCTGTCACTGGAGAGGTTGGCAGCCCAATGAAAAGGTGAGAACTCTGCCTCAGAGGAGGCAATTGCATTGTCACACTGGCAGCTGTGAGCAGGCCAGCACTGTCCTTGTCCCATCAGCACTCACTTCACACTGCACCAGACATCTAGCACGGCTGAGCTCAGTACATATTCCACAGATGCTCATTCCAGGGAAAGAAGCCTTCTGTCTGCTCATATCTAGTAACTCTGTGCTGATCTATGCCTGCAGACCTGGAATCTGAAATGAGTCTTTGATACCATTTACTCCCTCAGTGAGACAGAGTCCCTCCTCTCACCTGCTTGTGCTCTTTGGCTCCTCCCTATCTTTACAGGAAGAACATCCAATTTTCCATGCAAAGTCAGCTGCAAGCTGTCATATTTTCTGAAAAATCTCTTTGCCTAGGATTCTTCTCCTGGAAAGCTGAGAAGCCTCAGAGAAAAATGAAAACAATAATTATCTCCTTTTTCTTCTCCTGAGTTTTGCTGCTTTGGAATGGGATCTGGAGATGTTTACCAACAGGTGCATGTTTGATTGATTTCATATGAATTGTTTTTACTGAATGACCAGTCACGGTCAGGCTGTGTCGGGACTCCGGAAGGAGTAATGGGTTTTCATTATCATTCTTTGTAGCTTTCTGTCTGTATCCTTTCTCTATTCTTTAGTACAGTTTTAGGTATAGCATTCTTTAATATTATATAGATCATAAAATAATAAATTAGCCTTCTAAGAACATGGAGTCAGATTCATTCCTTCCTCTTCCATCTGGAAGGAGGAAAACTTCCACAGCAAACCCATAATTTCCATAGAAAACTACCAAAACTACCACAGCAAACCCATAATTCTTTCCACCGCCAGCTACCCGAGGGCACAAGGGGCACCAGCTGCAGGGCAGGTAATACAAGCACACCACTCCAGCCCAGTGCTGATGTCAGTGGTGCTGAGCAATCCACAGCCCAAAGGGCAATGCAGACCTCTGTCTGCTAGGTAGGACATCACAGGTGAAGTCTGCCTAGCTCAGGAAGAGAAGGGTTTGCTGCCAGACCAGTACAGGAGTGATAGTTAGGCAGCCCACAAGTGGGAAGTACACACAAATGGGCTGCTTGGCCAGCTGCAGGGAAGCATCTCCTCCCTACCCAGTCCTTGAGCCACAGTCGTGTCCTCCAGGTTGGCCAGGTACGGGTTGAGCAGCTCTGTGGCACCCCACAACCTCCCTCCCTGTGCTTCCAACCTCTTCCCTCTCCTAATCCAGGGATGGTCAGTGGAAAGTGGGACTGACAGACCAAGGATGTATTGGACAAGATGGAGCAGGTATAGCCTGAAATATGAGAGGTGTGATATCAAGCAGAAAAAGGGGAATGTTCCCAGACTGGTGTGAGTGGCAGGAGGAATCAGAGAAGCTGATCTGTCCAACTGGAACCTGAAATTATCTGTTAGATATGCAAAGTGAGCACTCTTGGCATAGATTAACAATGGAACAGAGGCACAGACAGAAAGAACAAGTTTTGTGCCACAGTAATTAATTCAAGAAGGTCTTACAGAGGGTATGTGAGTAGGTGGATTATAATAAAAAAATAATTTTAAAACAGAGTTCTTGGTCAATTCTGAATAAGCTAAGCCAGGCTAGTGAGATTGGAGCACCATCTTACGAGAAGCTAGAGCACTGGAAAAAAAAAAAAGACCTAAAAAGGAGAAGACTGCAAAACTCCTCACTTAGCACCTCAGTGTACTGAATGTCAAAGACCATGATATACATTGGGCCAGGCTCTTCCTTATGCAACATTAAATGTCATATTCACACTCTGAAAACACAGCTTTTTTTGAGAAACATCTGTACTTTGGAGACTCCTAGTCAACTATTAAAATAAAACAGCAAAAAGGAAGAGCTGCAAGTACCTGGCTCTTCTATGGCACAGTTGAGGCTGATGGTCCAGCACCGACTTTTCTTTCAACAGCATCATTTAAAAACAGTAGCAAGCAGCAGTTGCACTGTCTGTCAGCGCCACTGACAGACCCAGACATTTTGCCACTGCTTGCAATGATTGCCTTCTGCAAATGGAAACATTAATCCTTCATGGGTTCTTGCCTCCACCTATAGTATGTTCTGACCTTTCTCAATGTGGACAGAAAAAGTTATGGGACATAATTAGCTTCCTTGTGACAACCCACACTTTCCAATGTAGATCTGCTGATGGCCTGTCCTATAGGGATGTCGTATGTACTGGAGTGGGACATCCCATTCTTCAGGGAAGCAACAGAGAAGACAATAAAAGATAGTGCTCTAGAATGAATTATGATCCACAGAAAATTGTAATTCTGGACATGCTTTTACGTGTGATTACCAGTGAATGAATAGGAAACAGCTTTTATTCTAATTTGTCCAATAAACAGCCTTAAGAGACAACACAGAGCAAGAAGAATTGGCTGGAACTTTGTTTCCTTATAATCTATGACCTAGAAGGAAAATATTTATCTCACAAAATGTCCCTCAGTTGCCCTTCAGAGCAAAAATTCAAATTTTGCTAAAGTTCAAAGACCTCAATGATTGGAAACTTGTTCAATAGTGACAGCCACAGATTTGATTCCCTCATGTACTGGGTGTAGGCGATCAGGTTGTGGTAGTGAGAAGGGTGGCCTCTAGATGAGAAGCTAGCTGCCCTGTAATTAATCATTGTCCTGTAATTGCCCTAGTAAGTAATGGGAGTAGTCACAATGATCAGATTATGAAAACCAGCAGATTTTGTTCAAGAACAAATAATCACCTTGCAAGAGTGAAGACAAAGGTTTGTTATGGATGACTGTGGAGGACATTTGCTCCATGGACCTGACAGAGCCTGCACATACACACACCACAAAGCCCACTAGCCAGCAATATTTTGGAGAAGGAAAACATTATTTCAGAGTAAGAGTAAGGCATGTGTCAATGAGTGGCTCAGCCTGAAAGGTTTATTCAACCTTCGACCAAGAGAAAGTTTCTTGACCTAACCTTCAGTTAAAATCTGAGAGTTAACTGCAACCACCTCAAAGCCCTGCCAGAACTTCCATGAGCTGTACAGTCCAGGCTGGACATTCTTCACATTCTAGCTGGGGAAAAAATAAGAAAATCTCTCAATTCTTTGTGCAGAAAAATTATTTGACCCTTATTTCTTTTTCAGATACTTAGTCCACAGTGTGACCAACTGCCACATGCTTATAGGGCTTTTTTTTCAATATTAAGAGAGCTTAGTTGTTTTTTACATGAATATTAACTATTTTTTCAAATATTTTTCCATTTCATTTCAACGATATATTCTGAACCTTTAATTATTTTTTCCCATACACTATGGGAGATTACAGTACATTGCAGTTATTACAGTAGCATTTTACAGTTAACCAGTAAATGTGCTTTCCTTTTAACTTATTTATAGTGCCTATAAAACATGAGTCAACCCAATTTCAGAGGGACTTCAACATTGCTCCAATTGCACTGAAAGCAGAACCCTTCCAGCAGCTTTGTTTCTAAGCTCTACTTATGCTCTCTTGCCTGCTTTATGTTGCATGCAGAAGTGTAAGAGAATCTGGGCAGTAGAAGTTCCTCCCAGTGCCAGTACCTGCAGCTTGGAGCCATCCTGGCATTTGAACCCAACCACGCCAGCAGCTTCCCATGCAAAGTGACTTAAATGGGAGGAGGAACCCCTTTGACCAAGACACACATCCAACAGTGCAGAAGCAAGAGGAGAAAGCAGAAAGACCCAGCCATACAGAAACAATCTCCACTAGAAAATGATGATGGAAAAAATAAAACCAACCTCATCTTCTTTTTTCTTTAAAAAAGTGTGTGTTGAACAGGGACCATAACACTGCCCATTAGCTGGCAACTCTCTCTGAAACAGCTGCCACCAGCTCTTCTCAGGGCAGCAGCGCTGCTGGAGCTGTGCTGGTCTGAGGTCACAGGCAGGGCAGGGTTTACAGCACTTAAAACTTGCTGTTACAAGCACACTCGTGTAAATCATTTGAACATATGCAAGAAGTGAGGTAATAAGGCTCAAAGTATGTTGTTAGCAATTCCCAAACCGAAAAATAGGCTGAATTCAGATTACTATTTGCTATCAGTACCCCACTGGGGCCCTTGTGTTTTGATGCTATTCCATATGTCCTCTTTCCACCAGTCACATTAGTTCAGTACTTTTCTTTCCATTACATGGATGTGATGAAACACAGAGCGTTTTAATTTCAGCCACTACACAAATGGAACACACACTATATACAAATAAAGATGTCAGAACAAAAGTGGGTCAATGCTGCCAACAGCTTTTCACCTACTGATTAAGTACTGAAAAAAAAATCACATTGTAGGCTCACCCCCGCCAAATATTTGTGGTTCTTATGTAATTTAGAACAGCTAAGTAGCTATCTCCCCCAAAAAAATTCCATAAGAACACTGATTTTATGGGCCAAAAACCTGTCTCATACAATTAGTGTGGTGCTGGAGTTACATCTACACTAGCTGAGTGCCTGGCTCTTAACAGCATTTCAGTTTGTCACTTAAATCTGTGCAGTACCAGGAGCTGTATCCATGATTGCCTTGATGCATTACACATCTGAACAGAAATCGAGAAGCCTGTCTACCCATGGCCAACCAAGATGACAACACTGTAATGTTCTTTTAACTTCCCTGTGGAAAACTGCAAGGATATTTAAGAATAATTACTTTTTCTTAAAAGTAATTTGTAGCTAGCTGGCACTAATATTCTGTCACCTCTACTGTGTTAAATGTTTAAATTAAGAGTTTTTCATTTCCTTGTGGAAAAACATTAATGGAGTAACACAAGCAGGACAGTATTTCTTGTAGAAACATATGCAAAAATCATTACTGCCTGTTCCAGCCTCTGCAATTACTACTATGTATTCCTGAAGAAGCCAAATGTTTTCACTCGCTTTGCTAAGGGGATTTAGAAAGACACATGGATGATCTGGGATACACGAGCACTGAGAAGTCTGGATAAAATGAGATTCTCCACTTGAAAATAATGACACTCGCATAGGAAGTGATCCTCTTGCCACATCAATCCTTTCACTTCCATCAAGGGAAAAAGAGGTTTGTGTTTTTTTTCTGCAGATTATCTTGCAGGCTATCTTACTGGCCCACAAGAAACTCCACAAACAGCAAACATGGACCACAGAAACTCACAGAAAGTGTGGCTTATGGCCCAAGGAGCACATGGTTTAAATAAACAGAGTGCACATAGAAGAGAGCTTGCCTCCATCCTTAACAATTTTTAATAAAGTTTTTACTGTAATGCCTTATCTGGGGTTTTCATCTGTTTTCAACATTCCTATGGAACAAACTTTTCTATCCATGCCAGGAGAAATATTAAACAAAATAAAAAAAATCCACTTATACTACCAGTCCTGCCCATAGAGCAGAAACTGCAAGGTAGTGGTTTTACCTTTGTGCTATTCCTGCTCTGTCTGCACTCCCTGGAAGTCTTCTGCAGCCAAAGACAAGTTCTGGTAGCCAGGGATTTATGAGTTCACTACCAAAAGCCAGAGCCAAGCTGGAGGCATGGACAGCCTCCAACCCCACAGGTTTTTGGGCCCTAGCAAGGGAGGGCACAAAAGCCCTTCAGCTTTTCCCCTGAGAAGAAGAATAGTAACTTTCCTAAACAAAGAGAGTGTGAGGTAGGGGTATCTGTGGCATAAGCAGGCCCAGTAATTTTGGTTATTTAATGCAAACATATAACCCAGTGTAATGTGAGTTCCTTGTCAGCCCAAAAGTTTAACTGAGGTTTACACTGCACCACCCTCCTGCAGATTGCAGGGTCATTTGTAATTGCCCTGGTGACAGGGGCTACAGGAATGAACACCAGCAACTGAGTGCTTGTTCATTCCACGCACAGTGCTGGAGACTGAAGATTGTTCTACAACTCCTAACAACACACGGGGAAAACCCTCACGAAGGACTTCTTCACCCCCCTCCTTAATTACTCATCCCTGTGTTTTGAAGCAGCAGATATCATATCTGATATAAGAAGGAAAAAAGTACAAATTAAGTTGATGTCTAACTTAAGAAAACATCATGGACAAAGCACTAACCAACAAGGGAATATAAAAAATGCTAAAGTATTTCACACCTTGATGAAAATCCATATAGACTAGTCCTCATCTAAGCTTAACCTTAAAACAAGCTTATTAAACTGTCTTTCAGGGGGTTTTATCACAATGGAAAGTCCTCCTGAAGTCTGGTAACCTCACAATGGATTTTACATAGAGTTGTTTTCAGATAACAAGAATACTGAAGGCAGAACAGACATTACTTCTCTGCTGTAAAAGATTATCACTCCCTATGTGTTGGATAACAAAGATTGCAAAGGTGTTTTCATTTTTTAACATAAACCATCTTCGTCTTTTCTAACTAGAAAAGACCTCAGCAGTGCTCATTACAGATACCTTTGCCTCATGCCACAACTGAGCACAGCTCTTTTTTTGTCAATGCCAGCAACATTTCATCGTTTGAAGATTTTTCTGAACCTCTAAATGAAAGGACCCAAAAACAAAGCAAAAGGCAATCCAAAACCTCCCATGAATTATACTTTAATTTCAGTTGCGGAAGGAAATGCCCTTTCAACAATTAAACTACTTTTCTTGCACCAAAATAAAAAAATCCCTCTTACATATTTTCCAGTGTAAATAGTAGTCATTATATGTTATTTGACCATGAATTCCAACCATCTAAAAAGCATTACTGGGTGACCAAAATGCCACTGAGCAGAAAAAAATAACAGATAACAAGACTTCCTTTGGACAAAAACTACAATTTAGGTGGTTACTTCTGGACAAAATCATAAGGACCTTTAAATCCAATTTAAATAACATTTCAGAAGAAGAAAAATCCACACCCCTCCCACCCCCCCCCAAAATACCAAACCCAGAAAAACATTTGGTTTAAATATATATGCACCATTTCTCTGCCCCCTGGTGTTACAACTCGAAAACTGGGTTTCCTTTCTTTTCTGTGGGCTCAGTGCATTATATTTTTACCTTTGTGTTAATTCTGTCCATGTTTTTTTTTTAAATGGTACATGATGTTCTTTGGGTTTATTCTTATATTCCACTTACCAAACAAAAATTTATTATAAATTGGTGGTGGTTACAAGAAGATTTTTCCATATTAGTGAAATCCTGGAACTATAACTATGTATCATCTTCACTTTAAACGTGATTGCTGCTTTTTTGACTCTGATTTCATTTCTGGCAAACTCACCTCATCATCATCCATCAGATGTTCCTTCGCAAATTCATACATTTCCAGCTGGAGTGTGGTAATGTTGTGGTATCGAACTGCCTCCTACCAAAAAAACCCCAAATTTCTGTTACTTTAGGGTAGCAAGACAGGTGAGTGTCATCACATGCCTCCTGAAACCATCCCAGTGAGGTCACACCCAGACCTAGCAAAAGCAGATCCCAGGCAGGGCTCACGGTGTTTAAGAAAGGAAGCAGCAAAACAGCAAACAGCATATTCCAAACTCTTCTGTGGATCTTCCTAAGCACAGGCTTCCTCACTGCAAGAACAAAGCACTCTCCTCTTTCTCATGTTTCAAAGCACTGGCGAGCCTGAGAATAAGGAATGAGACTGCCAGGGCTGAGCAGCAGCCTGTGCCTGCATTCCAGTGGGCTTTGGACAGGAGAAAGCCTCTGTCTCCCTGTGCTGGCTATGGCAGCAGGCAGTTCTGGGAAAGAGACACACTGAGCTGTTTTGGATGATAATGACTCACCACCCAGCCTGAGCCTGGGCTAGGGAAACTCTGAAAGGTCACTCACCTGTCCCTCCTCACTTCCCCACTGTGTGCCCGGACAGCACAGGGTAGCTCAGTCTCATACTCTCACATTTGTGAGTACCAACTGCCACCTACTTTGATTATTCCATTTAACTCCTCTTGGGGAAGAAAACAGCAGACTCCCTCTTTCACAAGAGCATCTAAAGGTTAGTGCCAGAGCCAAATGTTGCTGTCGCCCCATTACCACTTTTTGAAAATAAACCAGAGGCATTATGGTTTTCGAGGCAAGTTACTAGGACAGCAAGCAACTTCTGTTTATAGCTACACAGATTAAAGTACAAGAAAATACAGCTGTGTGCATTTAATATTTTGTATTTTAAAATCAAATTATCTGCAGTCCCCAGCCCCAGAAGTTATCAATGAAACATTCAGAGTGCATGTGTAGGGCCCTTGTTCTGCCCGCTCTGCACTAGTATGCCAAAAGTGTCTGCGGTTTGCAGTTTCACACTGTTGCTACCCCTCACTCCCACCACCACCAAACATTGTCTCCAATATGGTTACAAAGCACCATTCTGTTCCCAAAAGCAGTGACAAAGGAGCAGTCCCCTTCCCTAGTGAGCTCAGACTTGCTGCTGCTGCCTGAAAGAACCAAATGCATTTTTGTTGCCTTTTGTCTCAGTTAGCCCTGCAGGGCAGGCCTGGGTTCCCACTGTGCCAATAAAGTGTGTGTTCTAAGAGGCATGACTAGAAGGCACTAAATTGAATTTGTGGAACATGTATTGCTAATGACTAACCAGTGGTACAGCCCATATGACTGATGCCTAAGCAGTCAGTGTCACAATTTAGCTGCATGACATAAATCTTGGTAACAAGAAACATTAGAAAATCCAATTTGATGTCACAGTCCAGGCTGTAAAATTTCTTTGGACATGGAAATTTAAGAACAGCATAGAAGCCCATTTTTAAAATAGTTTTCCAAAGCCAGATGACAACTATTGCTGGATGGACTGGTGTCTTCTTTGCAGCAAGCATTTTAATTTAGATAATTAGATGAAATACAGTCCTGAGCATCTTTCCATCCTCATCCACCCAACTGTGTTCTAAATGGAGTAAGTGGAAAGTCAGTTTAGCTGGAGTTACCATATTCAGACACATTCCAATGCCCACAGAACCTGAAATAACAAGCGAGTGGGCAACTATGTGTTGGCAAATAATGATTCACAAAAGCCTGAATGTCACTCACAGATTTCATCATGAGAGATTTCAGGGGCCAGCTGCTTTATTTATAAAGGTACATAAAGACATAAACATGCCTAAGTGTCAGAGAAGTACAAGCATGAGTTTACTTCTCATCGTATATTATATGCTATCTTAGTATATTTCAAAGGAAAGGGAAGAGTTACAATGACATTCACTGTTCACATGACAGACTACACCTCTGTGTACAACTTTCTATATGACTTTAATAAAACAGGACGTGTTAAACTCCCAAACCAGAAGATATCTCACATTTTCCCACTGAATTTCAGAGAAATATCTGAATGTGTCTAGAAGGCATTTTAGGTAATCCACCTACCGATCTGGGCTGAAAATCCTCCTCTTTAAGTCCCCATTTGTCTTTGTGGTACTGGTAATAGACCATGTTCTGTTTCATTACTTCATCTTTCTCATCAAACAGAAGGTAACTGGCAGCACAAGAAGCTGCATTCTTCATGTCATTCACTAATTAATAAACACACACACAAAAAAAAAAAACAAGTAAGGGTAAATGAACAAATTCCTGCTATTATCGAAGCCCTGGAAAACTCAAAACACAGCCCGTACTCTACCTCCTCACCAGCTGCATAGAGGAAAATAAATTGCTCCCCAGAAACTGTATGTTATTTTTGCTCTGAAACACATAAGGCCATGATTCAAATATCAACTTATCATCAACCTCTGATGGTTTTCTATCAAAATCCTAACCAAATATTCCTCACAGGTATCCCAGTATCAGCCCACAGCTTGGTAATACGCACTGGTGCATTTATTTAAAAAACAAAATAAAATATATTAAACCCCTTCCTACTTCTTTGTACTAGGACTGATAAAGAGGGAAGAGTCAGGGTGTAAAGTGTGTAGTCAAACAACACAAGCAAGAGTCATTAATGGCTTGATGCTACATGGCTGATGTGTCTTCCCTTTGATATTGGAGCCTGCAGGAACAGCTGAAAGGGTGTTCAAGCTCCTCAAGAAACCACAGCTTTCACCGATTAATTTACCTATCAAACATGTCATCACTGAGCACTGAATACTACAATTTCTTTTAAGTAGTCCCCTCTTTCTGCAAAATCTATTTAGCCGCATTCTAATAAGACTATAAGAATCCACTAGGAAAAAGCAAAAAAACCCAAATACTCTGTACATTTGACTGTGGAAGAAATTCTGCCCCACTTCTGTTAACTACAGCGACAACAGGGAACAAAAGACATCAGGAAACTTGGATTTTCTGTCCAAGAACAGTTTAAAATGCAGATTCTGGAGGGTACTGCTTACATTCAAAAGCATAAAATGAGAGTGAAAAGATTATGAATGGATTCTGTCCCACATCATCCAACATCAGTGTTATTTAAGCACAAAAATTTACTACTTACATTTATAATATGCAAACTGCAAGTAATGGTACATGGTGGCCACAAATTTTTCAACGACAAAGCCTCCTATAATGGGTGTCAGATTGCTCTCACACTGCACTTTGCATGCAAGGACTTCAATATAATGGTCTGGAAGGAAGAAAACAGCAACAGAGGATATGGATAGCACAGAGCAAATTGTTATAATCACTCCCACTAGTCACCCATTAAAATTTGGCCTTATAATGCTCTCCTGGTCCTGTGCATCTGGCTCTTGCTGCTTGGAAGTACTGAGAACCTACAACTTCATCTGAAGTATGAATCAAGTGTTGGTACTAGGCCCTTCTGTAAAAATCTGTGTGGCTGACTTTTAAGGCATCGGAGCTGGAATTCCAGAGAACTGAGACTTAGGTTTCACTGACACCTAGAGGCAGCATGTGGTTGGTGGGTTTTACAGAATATTGCATTATGTCCTAGCTGTAAACTTCACTGTGCTTTCTTTCCTTTTCTAAATTTTGCAAACCATGCAATTACATGCAATTTGTGCAATTACATTATTGCACAAATAAGGTCCTCATGCTGCTGAGTACAGCTGTGTCACAGACAGATACAGCAGGTGACTGCAAAATAAACCTCCAGAGATGGCTGCATTATGGGCCCAGAGTTTGGGTGTTTTAAGGGAGAAGAAAGAGGAGAATATGCTGCTCACCACAGAAAAACTTTCAGCCAGGAACATGTAAGTTCACAAGCTTACCCAGTCTAAAAATTGCTATATATAATGCAATATAGGACTATAGCTGATTTTATCTTCAAGAAAATACATTTCAAGAAAACCTTTCAGTAAAAAGCTTCAAGCATTTTCTGGATATATCACATTCATCAACAGAATGGAAAAGAAATATTTTAAAGTCTTAGTCTCCCTGTTAGCCACATTTGGCAGGTGAAAGCAAGTTAGCTAAGCTTGTGCAGCAAATTTCTGACCAAGACAAAAGAACACTTTTCATCCCTGAAAACTCCTAACATGAAGATCACTGAGGTTAACTAAATATAACTGCTGAAATGAGCTGTAAATAACTGGCCAAATGAAATTTCCAGTCCCATTTTTACAAGAGCAGTGGAATTTCTGTAAGCACAGTATTGCTCAATTCCAGCCAGCAGTTACAGCCAGAGATGCAAGTCCCCCAGTGAAGTGATCCCATGCAATGAGGATAGCTGGCTTCCTGACACAACTCACTGCTCAGAGATAAATACATACCTAGTGCAAGACCCAAATATGTCTGGTTAACACTTACTGCTACATCTGCTTCCTGCAGACCCTTGGAGGCAGAATATCTCTCCCTGGAACACGAGCACGATTCAGCCCAGGCAGTGCAAATAAATTTGAATATTCTCTTATCTCAAGGGCGAAATACTTGAAATGCATGAACATGGCCATGGTGACATCATGCAGAATTCCTGCTTTTCCTTCCCATCACTACTACTGGGAATTGTCCTTCCCTTCCAAGGGGGAAGAGGGAGGGAGATAGTAAGTGTCAATCACAGCTAAGCATAGACACTACTCCTTACAGTGGCTTGAGGATTGTCCTGATATCAGAGCTCTGACCCATTAGGAAAGCCTGTGTTTCTTGCTTTACCTCCTGTGATTTGTGCTTCACTCTGTCTTTGTTATCCTAGACCCCTGCATGTATTTCCCAAGAGCAAGTCAAGGCCTGAGAAATAGCCTGCAATAGCTGTTCCATGTCAGCTGTACTGGTGGATACCAGCTGCACACCATGAGAAACTGAAGCTGCTCATGTATAAACATACTTCACAGAAGCTTCCCCTCACCAAGACATGGTATAGCTTTAGAATAGAAAGTTGGAATCTTTTTCCTTAGGGCAACTTAAAAAGCACAAGAGAATTTCTACGTTTATTGAGAAAACATGCAGGTGTTCTCCACAAAAATAGTGCCAACAACACTGAGCTGTCAGAGCACTGGAGAAATTGTTTCTTGCACTGCCAAAGAGCATAGGAAATGTGTATGTGCCATTTTGACAACAATCAAAAAAGTTGGTGTCCCTTTTCCTTTGCAAAGTAATGGATTTATTTTTTTTTTGCTACACACACAAAATACAGATTTTACCTACTAGTAAAACTCTAATGCGTGAAAGACATTTTTTTTTTGCTATACACACAAAATACAGATTTTACCTACCAGTAAAACTCTAACACATGAAAGATTAAAAATAGCCAACAGAACCTCATCATACTTATGAGAAAAGAGATGCAGATCACTAGACCTACACAAAGCTGATTTCAAAGGCAGGCTGACTAACCACTGAACCTCAAAGGTGGCCAAACTGATACAGAAATTATGGTCAAGAGACCTGGCTGGATGACCACTGCTACCCAGATGGAGCAGTTGTTATTCACACATCTATGTTACTCTGACACAGAACTTCCATGTAATGTAAGATCTCTGTTCTGATTTCCTGATAGACCTCATTTATGTCACTGCCGAGAGCAAAAAAGTAAACCAGAATTCAAACAGTTTTCAGTAACTCTAATAAACCCCTATTGGCCTAAACTGAGGAACAGGACTTGGGGAACCAATCCTATGAATAAACTGAAATGCACTTTGGGGACATCTTTCCTTCATGTTTCATAACCACTCACCTGCGATGGAAAGATAGAAGTCTTTAAAATCCGTGATCTCTCGGGAGCCTTCGCAGGCTGCTATGCAGTCTTCATAGGCTTTGAAGAAATCAGGAAGAGCCAGTTCCATGTCCGAGATGGATGTCCGCCAATTGTCACCGTTGTACGCTCTCACTGCCCTGACAAAGAGATTCTGAAAAATTGGCAGGAGTGAATCAGCAGTAAGTGACCCATGAGAAGTGTTGTGTAAACTCAAATACAGTAAATGACGGCTCCACATTTCTGTACGAGCTGCTCTCCAGATGATGTGAGAACAAATACAGGAGACTAATGGATTTTAACAGGTATTTCCTAGAGAGCAGAGTATGACATTCCATTTCCACTCAAAAGAAAAGCCTGCTGGAGAGAAGCAATAGTGTGACTCTGAAGCACAGGCTGTGACAGAGATTTTCAACGGAACCTTAAAGCCAAATGTCTGAGCTATTTTCAGCTGTGCCACTACAGCACTCATGAATTTGGATAACTAGGCACCTGCTTAGCTCCAGCAGTGTAGCAGCTTTCAGGTACGCCACTGTCTGATTTGCTGTGACTCATTTATGGAACAATGAAGTGCAGGAGAGGTGAGAATTACTGAATGCACCAAGAAGGCAGAACAAAAATGACTGAGAGGATAAAAAGAGGGAGATTACGAACTGAGAACACATAAGCAAATGAGATCCTGAATCTCACCCAGTAGGAAGAGTAATAGAACAGTTCCAAAAGAGCAGACTCTCCTGAATAAAAAGCATACCTCATAAGGCTTTATCTCCAAGTCTTTAATATGCTCCTCAGCGTCAGGTATGCTCTTATAGTAGGCCATATTTCTTTGCATCATTTCATCATCTGGATGCTTCAGAAGAAATGTGTGAGCTGCTGCAATAGCTTTTGGAATATTATTAGCCTAAACAGGGATAGAGGAAAGAAGGTGTTAAAAAAAAAAGATTAACTGGAGGAAAAAAACCAACAAAACAAAACAAAAAAAAACAAAACAAAAAAAAAACCAGTTCAAAGGTTCACAGTTTTAAAAAAAAAAAAAAAAAAAAAACAGTTCAAAGGTTCACAGTTTCCTCAATAATTTTTCTTGCATTCTCTATACTCACAAATTTACTTCTACTGAGAGCACAGTCTCAGCAGATAAATTGTACAGTAAAACTGATATAATTCCTATACTCCTTTTTTTACTCCTAGCTGCATCACTGAGAACAATTTAACTTAGAAGTCTATCATTTTTGCAGATAGAATAGATGATTGCTGTAAATCAAAAAGATTAGGTTTTATCCCTTGCCCCTCCCCTGTTCACAGAGCTGACAAAGCAAAATACCAGGGCTCCTGGGAGGGTTTAATCTCACAGCAAATACTGATGCTAACCTATGGATAGTAGCCAGGAGTTTGTATGTGTTTATGTCACTTATTTGCCTAGCAGCACAGAGGACATTATTACAATAATATATTTTCCTGGTGGCATTACAAAGTTGGATTCTACTGCAGAGACTTGGTCAAAAACTGTGTCCTAAAGCAACTTTCTGTGCCCATTTTTAAACTAACTTTAATCCCTGTTAGACATACGTTGTGAAGTGCGCATTTCTCATTTACAACTGTATGTACCAAACACATACGTACTTCTGTGTGCATGCCATTTATGATTTCTTAAAATTTTATGTATATATACACACACATGCATAGTTTTATAAATTATATAGTATATATGCACATATTTAGGAAGAGTGAGAGAGAAAGCAAAAGTCTGGGGTATTTGTAAACAATTAAAACCTTTTTTCTAGGCTGTTCAGTGCATTGATGTACAGGCAATACAGAGCTCCACCTGACATGTAAAACAGCTTCTGGCAGCAGATGTTTGAAACCATGAGCAAGAATCACAGTGTGCACACGCACCCTTCTGCTCACACCCATAAAAGGTGCCCTTTCATGTTGGAAAGGAACCTGAGAGACGGCTGCACAGGAGCAAAATTTCAACCCAGCCACTGCTGCTGTGCTGCTGGGAGTGTCCCAGCACTGGAGCTCTGCCAGCTGCCCTTCCTGGCTGTCCCAAAACTATGCGTTTCCAGTCCGCCCCAGCCGTGCTAAATGCAAAGGAAAATCTCAGCTGCACTTTCGTCAAATGCCTGGCAGAAGTGCTGTAGCTGTAAACCTGCTTCTTTGGGAGGCTGACAAGTCTCATTTTTACTTAGATCCATGATTCACTCTTGGTTTCAATTTTCACCTCTTAGGAAAAAAAAATGAAAAAAGGTTTTGTAGAAACACACTCCTAAGAGATCTCAGTGGCTCTGAGAAAGCTCCCTCCAGAGGAGCTAGCAGCAGCGCAGGAATAGCTACTCCCAGAATCTTACAACGTGGCAAATTTCTCTGTGGAGCCCACCTGAATACACACATCGTCACTCTAAAAAATCACATAAAGCATTTCCCTCCTGCTTCTTCCTCTACTATAAATATTGTTGGGAGGGGAGGGGGTGGAGGGGTGGGGGAAAGGACATTCCTTTCACAGAAACCACCAGCCAGGAAAAAGCCCTTTGGATGCAGCAGTTTGTAGCTCTAAAAAGCTCATTTAGAACTCCCCGAGAAAGATAAAGGCTCAGAGCTGAACTACAAATCCAGTATGAAACACAATATAAACAACCGAGACTAAAGGCAAAACCACCAAACTACTACTCAAACTTAATGCAAATGTGATTGAAAAAAAAGTTAAAGGGGAGGGGGAGGGACTCCTCCAATTTCCCTCTCACACTCCTACATGGCAGTTACTTGACTGTATTTGAAACTATATGAAAAAATTATATTTGGTGTTATCTGTACATTGCAAACTGTGTACATGTCACATGGGGGGAATTAATAGTTAAGATAAGAAGAGGAAACATTTGTAATGATGTCATTTTGGTATCCATATATGGCTTTGAGAATTCGAGGAATTCCTGCCCTCTCTGTTAAAAGGCAGAGGCTAAAATGTATCAAGTTCTTTTGTATGGTCTTAGGGAAGGCATTAGAACCAGCTCGACACTGTGCATGTGGATGCTGTTCTGGTTTCATGAGAACACATTTCCCTGTGAGTGTTTGGAAAAACTGCTGAGGAAACAGCACTCCTAAAAACAGCAGAAGTTTGGAAGATGTGTGTTTTCAAGAAGCATTCTCAAAATAATGCAAAAGCACACAACCCTATGTAATGTATACTGGGATATGTTGGGAGTGAATCCCTAAACGAGAAAATCTAACCAAAGAGCTCAGCTTTTTTCCTCCCCACAGAGAGGCCCTGTTTAATCTCAAATAACTGCAGTATCTGAGGGGATGGCAGGAGGGATGGACCTTGATATAGAGAACAGAAGGTGAAGATGAGAAGGGAGAAAACAATCAATTAGATCCTGGACAGAAGAATGACAAGAAGGTAGAAAAACAGGATGAAATCTGTTAAGAGAGAAGTGTGTCCCCAAGTCTTGGCTGACCCAAGAGCAAAAGATAAATACCATTCCAGGGCTAGCATTACAGTGTCCCACTTCAGCAGCCAATTTTCACTTCATTCCTTCTTGCAGCTGTAATGATACTGGAGTTTTCCAGGCAGGAGGCTACCTGCAAGTCACAGGCTGGGGGCTGCTGTGCTTGAAAGAACTGGACCAGAAAGGAGCAAGTGAAGAAGGTGGACACGCTGAAGGAGAAGTAGTGAAGATCGTTTGCAATAGCAGAGCTGTGACATGAAGAGTCTGAAAAAGGTCCCAGAGAAGGTTAGAAAGTAAGGCAGACGGAAAGATGAGAGGGGCAGGAATGACACAGCTACTGGACACTGAGACAGCATCCAGTGCCTAGACGTCTAGGAAGAACTGGAAGGGCTGATTCTAGGGGACATGCTGCATGAATTGTAAAAAACGGGTGAAGAACAAGCTGGATGGTATGTGGGTAAGCAGGGGCAAAGACAAGGCACATGCTAATCCCACTTTGGGCTACAGGAATAGGAGGAAACAACTGAAAGGTTTGTCAAGGAGAGGAAAACAAAGTGTACGGTTGGCAGCCTAGGGGGGCAAGGAAGAAATGGAGGTGAGCCAGATGAGAAGTGGTGTGGATGAGATGATGGGGAATGAGGCTGTGGCCCAGAGTAACCTGCTCCAAGGGCCAGGTGAGAGAGGTCGACATAACAGGAGGTTTTTTTAGCATTGGGTGCACGAGGCATCTGGGGTCTATCGAGGCTGTCCTGGGACACACCACGCTGTCCCACTCCACCACGACACTGACAGGCGTGCCTGGAGGGCGGCACCTCACCAGGCGAGACTTTGAGGAGAAGAGCCTCCTACAGAGGCGGGGGTCGCGGAGGCAGGGCAGGGAGATGGGAGGAGAAAGGAGGAGGGCTCAAGGAGAAGCGGGCGGGGGGTGGCTCACCTTGAAGTAGGCGAACTGCAGGTACTTGTAGGGCTCGCGGCGCTGGAACTCCTCGAGCAGTTCGCGGCCGGGCTGCGCCTGTCGGAAGGCGGGCAGCCCTTGCTTGCAGCGCCGCAGGCTGGGCGCGGGGGGCGGCTGCCCGGCCGCGCTGCAGTTGCGGTGGCAGAACGCCTCGCTGTCCCGCAGCAGGCGGTACAGCCGCATGCTGACCTCCAGGTAGCTGACGCTCTCGGGCCAGTTCTCGGTGCTGTACTGGTCCAGCCCGTAGCGATAGGCCGACTCCAGCGGCATCAGCTCGTCCCGCGGGAAGCTGCGGAAGCTGTAGCGCTCGTACTGCGCCCCCGCCGCCGCCAGCAGCGCCGCCAGCGCCGCCACCCACATGGCTACGGCACGGCACGGCACGGCACCACGTCGCTGCCGCCGGCGGGGCCGGGAGAGGCGGCCCGGGGCCGGGAGGAGGGAAGGGAAAGCGGGCGGGCCGCGGCGAAGGCAGCGCAGAGGCGGGGCCGGGGCCGGGGCGGAGGGAGAGGCGGCCCCGGGCAGGGAGCGCGGGGCGGGCGGAGCGCCGGCTCCTCCGGCCGCCCTCCCTCGGGGCTGCCGCCCGGCCGGGGCTGCTGCCAGCGGCAGGGGCGTCGGCAAGGAAACTTTCCCTTAATGTGCTTTCCCAGTGTCCATGAGAATAGCTTTTTTTGCCATCCACTATTTAAGGGGTTTGTTTGGAAAATATATTAGCGAAATCAATCTCTTGTACCCTTTAATTTTTTTTATTATATATTTTTTTTTTTTTTGGTGTGTGTTTCTCTACAAAACCTGTGACATAGGTTCACGCATTCGTGTTGTGATGGTGAGCAATTGTTGGAAAAGCCCTAGAATTCTGGGCATTTTTTCCCTTGAAACTGCATTTTTAGATGTGGTGTTAAAAGGCGTTGAAGAATTGTAAGCACTATTTCTGCCTGTTTGATGTTTGGTTTCCTGAGGAAAAATAATGTGGAAGACCTATAAGGGAAGAGGTTTTGCATTTTTTGGATACTTGCCAGAAAAGTATACTCCAAATGTTAGCTACAGAGCTATAGAATGCCAACAGTGTATCCTCTACTGGTTCTACACAGTGCTTTGAGACATTTTCTGATGTCCAGCTACATTAATTAATAATCATTAGTAACTGGGAAAGGTGACTGTGGCTGTTGATCCAAAGAATTTGAAAGTTCCTAATGTAATCAAGAAGTTCTTTAGAATTGTTCTTTCAGTCTGATACATACAGGTTATTTGCATTATGACGGCATGCAGCCTCCCAGATTGCACAATCAGAGTTGGACCAGCTGCTCTCTCTCCGCTGCTCTTGGAGACTCATCCACTGATCAGTGGTGATCTTGGGGCTGGAGAACCCTCCAGCTTGGACACACTTGTGTAGAGCCATTTAAAATGCTAGCATGGCTTTCAAACTAGACAAATAGTGAAGGCCCAGATCTTTGTCCTTTTTTATTTTTAAACTGAGACGTCACAGGTAATTAAAAATAAAGCAAAAAACCACACCCCATTAAAAAAAAAAACAAACAACAACAACAAACCCCGAGCCCCTGACAGTTCCAGTACTTACCTTTCCTTGAAATTACATTTTACACTGTGCTTTCTGGACCTAGTAAGAACAGTTCTCTATCTCTTTGCTTTCTCAGGCTGAGTACCATTGCTTTTGTAGGTATGTGACCTCAATGACCAATCATGAAGAAAATTATTTCTTAGAAACACTTAATGCTTGGACTGTTTGCGTACATTTCTCAGCAGAGGCAGCCACATGATGGAGGCTGATGAACTGCTCAAGGATTCTTCATTGCAGTGGTTACCCTTATAGCAGGAGTTCTCACCAGTTACTGAGCTGAACCTGCCCTTCTGAGCCCAAAATCACCTGCAAGTGCTGGAAATGCTGTATCTAAGTAGTTGTTGTTATTTCACACTTCAGACTTGAATGGGTGAGAAACCTGGAACCCCAGATCCTCTTTCCTGTGGAAATACAAACACCAAAAGTCAAAACCAAACCAAAATAAACCATCAAAGGTTGCTGGGGTTTGATTCCTTTCCACAGGAGGGCTGAGCACTGTGTTCCCAGCCAGGCTTTCAACCTTGGCTTGCTGCCAGCCTTTTGCTGTCAGCTCTGCCTGCCTGGACTCTGCATTTTGTCTTTGCATGGAATAGGGATGATTCTCCTGGTTTTCCTGGCACATGGCTGTAAACACTCTGAATCCCATTTTTAAACCTTCTTGGGTAACAAAGATGCAGCTGGGAGCTTGCACACCACAGGAGGAACCCCCAGGAGGAGGAAGAGCCTGAAAGTCTGGTTTGTGTGTGCATGTGGATGTTGCTCAATTTGCCAATATTCCTGCTGAGTGCCTGCTGTCCTGTTCCCACAGTCACTCCTGCTCTTGCTCACTGACAGTTTCTGGAGTTTTTCTGCCAGCTGATTCCCAGAGCCTTGCCAGTATGTTGCCAAAAACATGAAGATAAATGAAACTCTCTGACACTGTTTTTGTAGTATTAGGGAGTAGGCATTAGTTTATGCCACGCCAGGGTGCTCCACCTAGATGCACACAACTTCCAAAACTTTTCACTTATTTATACATTTTTAGCAAAGAAGTTAGTGTTCATTGGTTCTAAATGACATTTTTTTTCCATCAATTTTTATTTTGTCTTCTACTGGTTATTGATTTCTCAATTCTGATGCTAATTAGTCCACATCTGTTAGTTTTCTTATTATCTTTTTTCCCAGACAGAGAGCCTCCAGAGTATGTTGAATCACCTTTTTTAGTCTCTTCTTTATCTTCTGGTTACTTCAACGTGTCCTTGGAGGGCTATTAATTCTGGATTCCAGGTGTCCAGCCTTTAACTCCCAAGGACTTTTTTCATTGAAGCTTATCAGGGTTAGTTCCTCATAGCTTAAAGTTTTTGTGGATCTAATCATCACACTCTAACAATAATAGTCAGTAAAAACAAAAACTTAGATACATGTTGGCTAAAATGGGAAATTACACTGCTAAAGACTAATAGACTACTTATAGTTTTTAAAACAATAAGTTAATTAAAACCAACAATTAGGAAAGTTATCTCATTTCCAACAAGTACAGGCTGGGAACCATGGATGGTGCAGTGGGATCTGGGGCTGACTCATTCTGTCTTACTGGACTAAAACCTGCTGCTTTTCTTTGGAGCCTGAAACCTGAGTGCCATGTGCTGCTAGTCAGATTCCCAGGACTGAGGGGAGCCACAGAAGCATGGGTTGCAGCACCACAGGGAGTACAGGGAGCAGCACAGGCTGATAAAATAAACAAGGCAACACCCTGGCATCCACTCCCAGGGAACCCCATGGCAAAAGGATTTGAAATAGCAAAATGAAGGAAACGTTTACATTTGGACTGGAAAGAAAAGGAGCTTCCATGCAACAGCAAGTTAAACATGGGTCAGTCCCCAGGCTTGAAGGGTTTGCAGTTTCAATCTTATGCTTCAGAATTCTTAGGAATAAATTATAAAATCCCACGGGTTGGAGGAAGAAGGATCTGTCTTCATACTCCCCACCCACCAAGTGAGGGACTCGCTTCTTTCCAAAGGGAGGAAAGTGAGTGCCTGGGATTTTTCCAAATCAATGCTGTGTTTGGAACATGAAGGAAGCGAACACATTTGGGTTTAACTAAAAACACATTATAAAACATAACCAAACCAAACCCTCTTACATTCATTATTCAAAACACAATTACATAAATTAAGTAGAAAAAGAAAACAAACATTAAAAAAACAGGGCAGGTGACATCTGGAATGTGGCACATGACTACAAATTTATGACAAAAGCAGATAGTAAAGCTCATTCATTTCCCTATTCCATCTTTAAGTCCTGTTAGCCCCACAAATCTTCTTTAAGTCTTGGCAAAAGGCTCTTCCTTGTCCTGCAGGTGATGGCTTCTCACAGAACTGTTCCTTCCTCTCATTGTGGCAGTCATCCTGGAATTGAGAAAACAACCCAGGCATTTTCATTTCTTTATTTCTAATTCCATTGGTCAGTTCTACTTTTCTGAATTTCTGTCTGGTTTGAGTGTGAAATTTTTTAATTCCATTATTTAATAGAGGCAAAAAGACCAAACAGAGCAACCCCTAAACTCTTACATTTACTAATCAACGACCCTTGCTAATAAACTAAGTAGAAAAGCAATCTCATAAGTATCCCTATCAAACTATTTCTACCCCCAGTAAACCCTCAAATTAAGTTTTAATCCTGGGGAGAGACCCTTCCGCCCACAGGCCATAGCTTCTTATGTACATGTTCCTTCTTCTTGTTGTGTCAAACACCCTGGAAATCAGAAAAAACAAACTTTCATTCTTAATTCCCTTAATTCCATAAATGCTGTTAAACCCAGAAGTGTTATTTTGACCTTTATGAAATATTGCCCATTGTGGGTTTGCCAAAATTTCCTTCTGATGGTTGAGGTTTCAATAAGACCTTTGGGCTGTGAGGGATAATCTTCCTACTGCCCTCAGCATCACACAGGTGGCTTTGGAAATTTAAATCTGTTTCAAGTCAAAAGCAGCAAGTTTCTAGCAGAAAGAGGAACAACTTTCATATGTCTCAAACATCCTGCAAAGAATCGAGGGGCATTCTTTGACCTCTCTATCTCCCTCTTTTCCTTCCTTGGAGGATGGCAGCTCCTCTTTAGGCAACAACAACCTGGAAATCAAGGAGTCTTTAATTATTTTTCCTTCTGTTCAGAAATGGGGAAGAACTAAAGGAAGAAAATAAGCTTGAAAACTCTCAACAGCCCAGGCAATTACAACATCCAACACAAACACAGATCAGCCCATGCCAACTGTCCAAACACTGAACATTTGAGAAAGAATTTGGATTTGGCCACAAGGATGGGCTGTGAACACCAAGCTTGGAAGAAAATTTATACGCCTCTAATTTATACTGCAATAAGTGGTCAGATAAATAGATAAGATATAGATATACACCTGTACATAGTGTATAACTACTCACCTCCTCCCAGAGTGCAGCTCTGGCACTAGGTGGAGGAGTTCCTGGGCTCAGCTCTCAGAGCTGTGCTCACTGCTGCTATCTGGGACTGCCCTGGGAGCAGGCACAGCCTGCAGCTCACACCTGGGTGGCAGCAGGATTCCCCTGGAGCTCTCCCTGGACAGCTGCATCAGTCGTGGTGGGTGCAGAGCTTAGAGAGGCCGTGGCTTTCTCCCCATTGGGTACTGCTGCTCCCTAGTCAAGCTGGCAGAGCTTCAGTGCCCTTGCTGTGTGCACTTCTGCATGATCTGATGTTTTCCTGCCTTGGATGCTGGACCTCCCCAGGAACATTTTATGGGGCTGAGGGAACAGACATTTGGTTCCCATTGCT